ATATATATATATATAAATTTATATTAAAATTATTTAAGATCCAGTTTATAGATCAATAAGATATTTTCATTACTGTTTATTAATTTTTATTTTTCACTTGCACATTACGATTATCAGAAATATTTTTAATATATGAGATTGATAATAGCATATCTGTTTCATAAAAATATTTTATCGTTCCATGAGAGATTAGATGACATACAGGAACTGAGCTTGCAATATATCAACCATCATTTATTGCATGCGATTTATAGGTAATCCAATATATGACATGGGTTATAAATTCTTTATAGTTAATAGCTATATTTTTAAGACACTTCGAAGTCGAGTAACGTTTTTGGACGTTATGTTCGGAATTTAAAGAATATAAAAGCGTTACACATCAAATGTATCACGTTTAAAACGTCTCCGTGTGCTTTCATAATGTTCATAATGCGTGTATCTATGCTCGTTAGTTCAAAGAATGATATTTATCGACTCGTAAAAAGACGACGAATTGTAATGCGACTTAGCTCGCAATCTCTTTCCATTTTGTCCGTGCGTTTCATTTCACGATATGATAAGCTTTCTTTTGGCAGGCTTTTGTCCGAGAATAGGCTTCGAGAAGTACACAACAAGATGTTCTCTGGCCTACCGAGCCTTAAAACACTGTAAGTACCTTATTGGGCAAACGTACCATTTAGCATCGATGCGATAAAACTCTATCGTGCGATTACTCGCATAATTCACTTTGCGTAGAAATCTCCATGGTAATTCCATCACATGCGTTATGCCGGGGTCGTTCGACGGAATGCCGCACATACGCGCCATGTAAGTTCGTGACTAATCAACGAATCAAATTACAGTAAGATTGTTACTGTATAGAAATTGTTATTAAATTTTCTCATATTTTTTGTGTTATATTCTTTTACTTTTTATTATCTTTTGTGGAAAATATAAGTAGTTAAATAGTCGAGAAAATTTATACTAATTATCTTTAAAATGATTATATATCAGCTTTAATAATCAAAGTATAATCTTCGTGTTACTACCTCCTTATTGTTGCTATATCGTTTGATATATTTTTCGGTATCTGCAGTAACATGCAAGGTAACCCGCTATCGTGCAACTGCTATCTCGCGTGGTTCGCCGGATGGTTGAGGAAACGAGATATAGCCGGAATCACTGGCCGTTGTCACGATCCACCACGATTAAAGGATGCCATCATCAAGGATATTCCACACCATGAATTCAAATGCAACAGTGCGTTTAATGCATTATTGTACAATTTTGGTCACCTGTAGCACCTGTAGATATATTTTACTCTCGCAATTTGTATTACTGCGCTTTATGATCGATTGCTATGATTTCAAAATAGAGTACAAATATGGCGTATCTCGTGAAATCGATAGCATTGATTTGCATGTAAACCGATTCGTATGTATACAAAATCGAAATTAATATAACACATTAATTAAATCTGAATTTGCGAGCAACGCGTATTTCGTGCCTTCGATTTATCTGCATTATCACTTGCGAAAAAAAATTTTCACGAATTAGTTAGTTGCTCTCGCTGTGCATCTTTATTCGTTTTCACAAACTAATATTTGTAATATTTGAATTGCAAATCCTGTTAACGATCTACCAACTATTTTACACCCATTAGACGACAGCGTGGGTTGCCTAGGCGACGATTACTGCCCGCCTCAATGTAATTGCGCGGGTTCGGTGGTGAGATGTTCGAGGTCTCAGCTTACAGAGATTCCACGCGGGATTCCACCGGAAACCACCGAGCTGTATTTGGACGTGAACGACATCAAAACGATCCAACCGGAGAGGTTGAACCACCTGAGGATTCTCACCAGACTGTAAATAAAACACGCGCGCACCTTCTCGTATATCTTTCAAGCGGCTTTCGCCATGTTTAACATCCGCTTCGTTTTCAGGGATCTGAGCAACAACCAGATCGGAATGCTGTCCAATGATACCTTTAGGAATCTCACGAAGCTGTCGCATCTGTAAGTCGAATATTTATTCCGTTACTCCGGAAATTCTTGAGAGATACTCGCGAAACTGTTTATGTAATGTAAACAACATATCTCTTTTGCAGAATTATTAGTTACAACAAGCTACAATGTGTGCAACGAAATGCTCTCGCTGGATTGAAGAATCTGCGAATAATGTGAGTCTTGTATGCAAATATTCGATTAACGTTATTATGATATGCTTCTTTTATTGCCGCAAAAATATTTGAATTTATGTATTAATCACACAATCGGCAATTGTTGTCTCATTTTACATCACTAAAATGAAGTTATTTAATATATGAAATTATTTGTAAGTTAAAAAAATATCATATATTAAAAATCAAATCAAATTTTATGTTAAATGAATTATAGTACATGATAAAATATTAATTGCAAATTTAAAATTAAAGTAGAATAATCAAACCGATTATTCTACTTTAAACTTAAATTTACCGATTATCAGATTATAAATTCTTAATTTAAGCTAGTTTTGTTTTAATTGAACAAAATGACAAATTAAAATCTTTCTACGCTAATAATATAAACATATGCACTCTAATTTCATTGCCCTTCTCAGTTCACTGCATGGTAACGACATATCGGTCATCCCAGAGGGAGCGTTTGAAGATCTCAAGTCTATAACACATCTGTGAGTATCACTCTATTTGTAAGCTGCACACACTTGATTTTCGATACCAGCCATTTATCGATTACGATGTTTACAGTGCCCTGGGGTCCAACCCGCTTTACTGCGATTGCAGCATGCGATGGTTGGCCGAGTGGGTGAAGAAAGATTATGTGGAGCCTGGCATCGCCAGGTGCATGGAACCTCCTGCAATGAGAGACAAATTGCTCTTGACGACACCGGCTAGTGCCTTTCAATGCAAAAGTAAATATCTCATAAGCGTATATCTCGATTGCGGGCAGAATAGCCAAGAGATTTCATCTGCAAATTTCGCTAAATAAATTGCTGTTCGCGAATCGCGTATCAATAATGCTTTGTTAATTAATACAGTATATACACGTGTGATCGTTTACAATATATTCAATTTTGACTTCAATTCCAACTCTTATACTTAAATTTTCATTAATATTCATTAATATCGCTCAATAGAATATTTATCATTGAAATCGGAAGTACAGATCATGATTCTCGATTTTGCTATAAAACGAGTTATCGATTTTTTTATTAGACATAAGAAATATTTTTTTTTAATATTGTTTAGTACACTTCGTAGCCTCTTAAGAAATTACAAAAAGAATTCCTCTGGCTGCTTGGCCATTACTGATCCGCAATCGCATACTGGTTGTCGCACGTGACGATGTTTTTGATTTTTCGTAGTACAACGCGACGCAGTCTGTTTAGTTCGTGGTTTTTTGGCCTAACATCACGGTAGGGTACTAAAATTACTCATTAATCGTAGACCTTTCTTCCGCGCAGCCAAGCAGCAGCCAGCCGAAGTCTTGGCCAAGTGCGACCTGTGTTACACCTCGCCATGTGAAAATGGAGGATTTTGCGAGGCGCTTCCGGACCGGCAGTTCCGTTGCAAGTGCACGCCAGGATATCACGGGGACCGGTGTCAGCATAAAATTGACGCGTGCTATGGAAATCCTTGCAGGAACTCCGGAACTTGCAAAGTACTGGAGGAAGGAAGATTCAGGTACTTACTAAGTGCGACAGTTCAATCTTGATCAGAGTAGTAGCTCGTCGGGCTGACTTTAGAGTTGCTCGTTCAGTGGAACCCGTAGAACGTTTGCAATAGCATCGTGCTGTATCTAGACAATATTTGAGATAGATAAAATTTCTGTCGACTTTTGCAATTTTTTTATCTTTTTTTTTACGTTAGTCTTTTTGCTTGAATTTTCATAAATTTTTTTTTACGAAATTATATCACATATTTCACGAATGTGCGATCAAACTAATAATTTGAAGCCTACCAATTTTTTAATTGCTTTGATTACTGTCTTAAGAGAAAAAAATCGATCAAGTAAAGGATAACAGTGACAATATAAAATTTGTAATCTTCCACAAATCAGGTGAAAAATCAACATGTATGTCATGTAGGTGTATCTCATATCTCATGTTATATTCATCATAAATATACTATATAATAATTTAGTGTAATTGGTAACAATGTACTCTCTAATTGCATGAAATCGGTAATATGCAATACTTTTTAGGAAAGTTATAGAAATTTATCTTGCTGAGTCACCCATCTAGTTCACGGAGGATTAAATATGAAGTTATATGTATAGATTAAACGAAGAAAATAGTAAATTATCACTTATATAAAGAAAATATGAAGTTATATAAAGATTTATTCTTAAAACAGTAATCTCAGATTCACCGAAAGAGAGAATCCTAATATTGCTGAGTAGTGTTAAAAATATATAGATTTGTATATAGATTTGTATATTTTATAATTCGAAAGTATTGAATTCTCTCTACTATAACGATTTCGTAGGTATTATATTAGTAGAACCTGCACGTTGTCAAAATTATTTCACCAAATGAACTAAGTAGTTTCTTGAAATATCTTCGTTTGAACATCAAAGTAGATGTAAATATGCACGATGTAAGATTATATATAGAACATTGCATCTCGAAGCTTAAATTTGACAATAAATATCGCTGAATAAAACATTATCTTTCTAAGTTGCTATGCTATTTTGACAACTCCGACTCGGGCTGCTTAAAGTGACACCCGAAGTGGAACACGATCGGAGCATTCGTCAAATTCCAATTCTCAACACGCGTAATAAACGGGACCCTCTGCACATGAGCCCCGAGGAGTGACGACTGCAGGCTATAAATTGCCGACGGCGCTGTCAATAACCTGCTCATAAGAGAGGCTGTTGCGATTATCGAAAAATCGAAGAACCGAATTTCCGCACGGAGAGCAAATGCATGTCAAATCGATTGCAAGCACATTGCCTAAAATTTATATTTATTTTTAACAATATTCTGTACAATATTTATTTTCGTCTTTATTGTTTGTATATTAAAAACAATGATAACAATACAATTTAAAATTATAGTAATAATTATACACAAATAGGTTTTAATAATATATAGTTATTTAATATACAAGCTTTAATTATTTTAAAATTAAATTATAATAGTTTACTCTGAATTAAAGAATAGAATTGCATATATGTAACTTATAATTTTTTTTCTAAAGATTAGTGCATTATTCAAATTTTCCAAATTTCTTTTCCCTCGATAGAAGTATTTAATTATCAAATACGCGCTATAAACGCGTAGAAATCGAGGAAAGAGAGAAGCAATGTCGGCGGTTTATCACCCGCAGTAAGGTACCTTTGGCGGATCTACCGCGATCGCATGTCAGGCTCAATGTCTCGATTGACGTTCAGTCGGTGTGTGACAGTTGCGACTGCGCCCCCGGGTACAAGGGACTTCGATGTGAAAGCAACGTCGACGACTGTGCCAACAACAGGTGCGCTAACAACGCAACCTGCGTCGACCTCGTACAGGCCTATCGATGCGACTGCACCCCAGGATTCATGGGAGAATACTGCGAGGAGAAGATACCCTTCTGTACAAAGGGTCACGACCCCTGCGAGAACGGAGGTCGATGCGTCGACCACAAGACCCACTACAGCTGCGAATGCCCAGTCGGCTTCACCGGCCTCAATTGTTCCACAAACTTGGATGACTGTGTCGATCATATGTGCCAGGTATGTGCGAAACATCTTGAGTTAACTGCATTAGCTGCGTGCAGAGAAATCTGATCAATGAGCGCTTAATTCTTCTTTAATATGATTAGCTGCCTTTAGTTTTTCGCTGAATCTAAGTGTAGAGTCATCTAATCATATTAAAGATCATATTAAAGAATCACTGAACGCTCTCTATTATTTACACAGCATGATAATTTTCAGAAATATTTTATTGCG